TTGGTGATTATTGAGAGTTTCAATATGATTTGGAGGCCATATAAGTGAGCACAAAGGCGTCTCCCCTCTATTTTGTTGATTTTGCTATAGATAGGCTGCCCACTTCTCTCTTCACAGCATCATGGGTGAGTAGGCTTTGCTTGCTAATGCCTACCCCATTTGGATCTTGTCATAACTCTAATCCAGATATTTGGTCAGAAGATGCTCATAACGTCAACTGACTGTTTGCTGTCAATGGTGAGCTATTTCAGAAGTTTTATTACCCGCATTTTTCTCAGTACTCACTTTTTTGTGGCTTAAAACCAATGTTTTTCTTACACCATGCAGTATCTCTTCTATGCCTGTTTGTTATGAGGATTATAGCCCACTGACATCTACTCTTGCTATGGAGATGATGGACAAAATATGGTATAAATGGCAACTGAAACATCCAGAGAACCTGAACACCTTTTCCAGTGGTTCTAAAGCAGCAATCATCATTGAGGAAACTGAAATGTATCCTGTTGGAATGCCTCCTGATCTTAATGTCAATTTGTTTTCTGTGCTCTCCCTGATCACTTGACTAACATTCATCAGCCTAGACATCTATATGAATATTCAAGTACTTGGCAAGTGCAACTACAGACTCTCTAGTAAGGCAGACAGGTCTTAAGGAATGGAGTTTAAAGAGCTACCAGCAAGCGATAGACCATCTATTTCCCCTCCACTACGAAAACCACTTGAGTATGTCATAGATGGAACTGAAAATTTTTTCTCTGCCATACTTGATGGTAGAACACAGCACAACTAGAACGGAGCCTTTAAAAGCAATGGGTGGACCTTAACTCAAATTCAAGACCACATTCGTAGAATAGATGCCACCACAGGATTATCTAGTTGTGAAAACCGCATCAACCAAGAGTAAAAGGTCCAAAAATTTAAATTTTTTGACAGTCGGTCAAGAGAGGAGAGCTAAGTGAAACAAATGTGACACAGGAATGTGGATATTTGTCCTCCTGATCCAGGTAAATTAGCTTCACATACCTGTAGCCATTGTCCCTTGTAGGATTGTAAGAGATACAGACAAGAAGAATGAGGCACTCCAGGCGCTCAATATCATAAGGAGTTAATATGATGTGAGTACTGTATCCGGTTTCTTGAGAAAATGACAAAGGTCCATCGACGTTGTGATTAGCATTGGATATACAGAGTTTTCCACAAGATAGAACCTGGCAGTTGTGGCATGCTAGTACAAAGCCTGAAGCTCAAATTGAGCTTCACCACTGCCGTCGAACATATTTCAAACTTGGCAGCCATTTGGTGATAGCAGAATCGAACCAGAATCTAGTCAAAATCTATTCTTTCGAGTCTGCTGAACTTGAGCCAGCAACGTTGGTTTTTCGGGGGTCACGGAACCGATCAATCAAAAAAAATGGCGGTGTTCGGATCTGGTGCGTCCGGCCATGATGGCATCAGCGGTGTTTGTTTGTGTAAGCTTACCTATCAGCGCTGCAGCAGATGGAAGAATGTATTTTTATTTAAGCGCATCCCCGCATCATTCACTCCACTAGTTTGTTATCAGCAGACTCGCCCGAATGCGGATATTCAAGCCTTAGGTCTTGATATTGCAACCAGTCAGACGACCGAGATGTGTCATACAAGTTCACACGTTTATGGAGGCTATCCTTTGCATAAAGTCTAGATCAAGCTGGTTAGCGGGCCTTCCCCCGAACCTTGGCCTCCTCATCAACATCATCATGAACTCCATGTTTCTCCGGGCGCTGACTATTATTCTAGCCGCCTCTCTTTTTGCTTTGACCCGTGCGGCAGCCATCGATCTATCGAGACGAGATGTGTTCGTACCTCCTGTCACATATCCTCACGACGGCACAGTATGGCAAATCCAACAATATCATAACATCACCTGGTGAGTGTCTGGCCATGAATGCGAACCTCCATTCTTACTGGTTGTAGGGACACATCTCATCATCCGGTCAACATCACAAATAAGCTCGGTCATATTATGTTGCGTAAAGGGGGACTGACGACACCATGTTTGTCAACTGCTCCTGCTTCGGACCCCAGCTTCTAATTCCCAGTTGTTTAGTGATTTTGGCTACGGGTTTTGACATTCTACTGGGTAGGATTGAAGTTCAGGTTCCTTGGGTCCTTAATGGCGATGATTATCAGATTGTTTGTGAGTCAGGAAGTTTATGGTTGTCACTCATAACGCTTATATCCCAATTTCAGTGTTCGGTGATTCAGGCAATTTTTCACCGACCTTTACCATCACAGGTAGCATCGACTTCTAGTGACTCTCTCGCGAGCATCGACTTCTAGTAACCCTCTCGCGGATGCTTTTCATGAACATCACCAATATTAACTGAATTTTGTACGATAATAAATCCGATTAGCCGATGCTTCGCCCTCTCCGTGTTGTGGCATGTTCAAAGATGAATCAGATGTAAGGGAACGATACAGAGTCCATCGCTATAGACCTTATACATGGCGCATTTGGCTCTGTTCAAGGCTTGGCTGATAAGCAAAATAAGCCCTGTAAGGACATATCACGGTGAACTACCTTTTTTCTCACAACGGCCTCGAAGATCAACGATTAAACGAGTGCTCAAGAAGAGTATTTATGGGACAATGGTATTATACCTGCAGTTATATAAATCCACGGCTCCATATGTTCCTGATACAAGCCGTGAGGTGGACCGGAAAACCAGCAACGTGTCTTCGTACGTGGGTGTGAGATGGTCACCTCACGAATGCAGCACCATCGCTATTTCTGGACTCCGGAACCGCTGCCGCCGATGGTACCAACATAAACGAGCCCCTCCACAATTTCCCTCGCGAAGGAGCTGCTCAAGGTCTCTGGGATGGAACGTAATTTGTCGTTGAAATGGCAGGGAGAAATCTGTTCATTCTGTCACACCTCAAAGCCCGACCATTCTCTAGCACTAGCTGACGACATATCTTGTATACAGGTACGATCTAATCTCCTTTGACATTCCGGACATGTGTGCGTTCTGTTCATATTTAAATACCGTCCCATCTAATCCGCTGCGGACTCCTATATGGAATTGCGTCATTGTCGAAGGCACAAGTCTCCTCGTGTTGTTGACGGTCCGAGAAACCGGCAAATTTGACACCCAACGTGTCGAGACATACCTTCACCTCGTGCTTGATCACCTCAGCCAAGAGATCTTTCTTCAATACCAAGGTGTGTCTGCGAGCATCGACATCGAGGACTATCCAGTTCTTTCTCGAGATCTGCAACCTCTGAAGCATCTTGATGGTTCTAAACCTCCGAAAATGGTTCAGGAAATCAAAGAAGGGAGCTGAAGCTCAGTGCGTTATGCTGCTGTCGGCCGCTTTGAGTTCGATTTTGAGGTATGTCGGGCTACAGGAAGAACGTTGAATCTGCAGATGCTGCGATGTCCGAACTTGCTCAAAGCTTACGGGGAGAAATCCAAGGACTCGCCGTCGAAATCAAACAACTGAGAAGGGAACGCGAGGGCCTCTTTCGGCACGCTACATCCCTTTTCATGCGAAGACTGGGTTAACTGATCAACATTCCAGTGATATCCATGACATCATGCTGTCTAAATGCCAGGAAGGACCATCACTCGAAGAAAGCTCCCCTCCGTACGTCCGATCTTCAAATTTGTCTGTGAGATAGGAGCTCATGACATTCTTTGTACGTTGATCTTCAGACCCTCACCGCCTTTATTGCATCGCAAGCGGTCTACACAGACCCTGTGGCTACCTATCCCACCTACACCACGAACATCCGAAGATGATCCATCTCAGAAAATTGAGATTGGACTTTTCGGACCAAGAAGTCGTACCCCGTCTATCATTGACTCATCTTCCCCTGGTTCAGTTCCAGATCAAGGAGGATCAAGCGCTGCTAGCAACGCCTCAGGGTCGACTTCGCAATTGTCGTCGTCATCTTCGGCGCGACGTCATCCTTTACGATCGATGTCAGAAGCCTCGCAATCTTCCAACAATTCTGACGCTCCTACTACACCTGCGCGCACAGCGTGGCGAGTGGTAGAGAAGAAGCCTGCACCAATTTATCTTGCGCGAACCGGCGTCGCCGCTTTTTGAAGTCTAGTGAGATCCCGAATACGCTGTACTTGCTGTTGAGAATGGTCACCATAGAAGTATATCACAAGTTGCCAATTCAATCAGATTAATTCAAAGGATCCTGTAAGAACATGCGCAATAGTTGACGGCCTTGAAATAGCAACTCGGTGTGGGTAGAGAACATCCTCTTTTAATCAAGTTCTCAGAACCGAGAGATAGAACCTGTATTTGAAGGCACGCCTAAGATTGTAGATACCTTTCTCTTCATTGAACAGAATGAGAAATTCGAACTCTGTCAACAAACCATGGATAGCATCAAACCTTGTCTGCCTGTCGTGTCGTTGGCGATACAGTAACGGTTGTCCTAGGTACTCCCGACCATGAATATATAAACTGTACGGTATAGTGTATGAACGTGTGATGGAACAACAAAAAACTGATCCACACTTAGGTAGACGCCGAAGCGCGTAAGTTGTACTGACTCGGGGAAGGGGACATAACCAAGCAATTGAGTTATTGTTCCGTTGGGAGGGAAGCGGTAATGCATGTGTTAATGATTGGGGTTGAGATCATGATTCAGCAGAGTAAAGGGAGAGAGAGCGAACAAATTCAGCAGTAGATGTGGACAGTTTGAGATTTTCGCCTGACTAAACCGAGCTAACCGAGCAACGTTCTCAACTTCAACATAAGGGAGAAAATGAAATTGTGGTGCTTGAGCGAGAAGCTGGAAGCATTAGCTTGGTTTGGAGTTTTCGGAAAACACTTATCGATATCCCTTGACCAGCTAATTGTTTGAAGGAACTGGACTTCCGTTCAGGATTTCCTCGGCGAGGCGATGTGGTAAGGCCTGGGTTGGTAGGAATGAGAAACTTGTGGCGATGTACGTACGGTATAGTATGAAAAAGATATCACCTACAACTCGCTTATGCATTAAGAGAGAATCGAACTCCCGGCGGGTCGAACTCATCGAGTCCATAGCGGAATGGCAACGACCCAGGTTACCACTACCCCATTAATGCGCGAGGAGATGTAGGTTCGTTGCCTATACCACTGATGGTGGGTGTATACTTGTTTAAAAGAAATGAGGCCGGAGGAGGTGGTGTTTACTGATCGCTGTACATGGGTAAGTGGATCGATAACACCGGCGGGAGGCGTGTTCCAGCCTTGATACGATCGAAATCCGGGAGGGCTCAAGAAAGGAAGACATGGAGATACGGTAGCAAGGCAGGTGGGACTGAGGACAGTAAATTGTGAACGAAAAGAAAAAGATGAGCCCTTTTAAAGGATCTCTGAGCAGTCTTCAGACTGATGTGCCTCAGAAATGCTGCGGCGTGACTGCACGGTGCGAAGTGGAAACGGCATACACGTACTTGACGCGTCGCCTCGCGTTTTCGGACAATGCTGAAACGCCTTTTCTTGACCATCATCTCTCCTTCCACCATTCTTGAATTTCCTAACTTTCTCACGTAAGTCCCTATATCACAGAATATAAATCAAATTGAAAATACGAATGGAATGGACATTCACAACCTCGAGGGAAGCTAGCAAACCGTTACTATTGCATCAGTGAATACGGATCATCGTCTTGTGCGTACTCATCTTCATTCTTACATCGAACGCATGCAGCATAACACAGGCACCCTCGTACAGTTGATAAATCTCTTTCATGTCTCCGCCCCAGTCTAATACAGCGCATATATTCACCATCCATTTGACACGAGCCTCGGAGTTGGCTTGATCCACACAAGATGTCTCCTCCACTCCTAAAGGCTCCACCAGGTCCAGACTTGTGTCCTACGTTTTTGCTGGCTACTCCGAGCTCAAATTTAAGGTCGGAGTCGTCTAATTTGATGATGGTTTGCGTTAGGGACGACAACGGGGAACATCAGACTGTCCTTGGCACTAAATGAATATATCATACCTGTGTAAGAATCGTTGTCGTTTCGGATAACGGTGTTTTATCGCTTTCTTATTAATTGTCACCATCTCCTCCGCGCTTCTTGCTTTTTCTTGCAATAAAATTCTTTCGCAACGAATATTTGAAGTTCTAACCTTCCCCCGCTTCTCGAGCCTTGACGATTCGGACTCTGAAAGATGAGGTCCTATTCCCTGAGGCATCTTTCCCGCAGAGAACACTCCGGTGTGTATTACTGACCCTTCTCCCTGCATCCTTTGTACAGATTTATCCACTAGGAGGAGAGAGGCTTTGCATTGGTCGTCTTGAAAACTGTACTCAATTCGGGGTCGTCTTCAGAATGCTGACTGCGCTAGCAAGCTCCCCGAAGAGAAGCTTGTGGCAGTAAACCAGTTTACTGTCTCACAGAACATTTTCTTGGGTTAAATTTCCTTTGTCGGCCCTGTTTAATGTCTCTGTTACATTAATCCCATTGCTTTCGATCACACAGGATATGGATGGTTTATACCTAGAACTTCTGATGACAATGGCACAAGAAGTTGTCCAGGTTCCTCGATATTCATTGTGATCGACCAATGCCTTGCCTGCCGAGAAAATACCTTTCATTCGAATGGGCGGCGCACATAATGCAGAATCCAAGTCGCGACAATCATACTTTAGAATCCTTCGCCGTACCCACCCTGCGTATAGAATTCCTCGAGCTTTACAACGATCCTTTCAATTCCCGATAACCATTTTCTCAACTCTTCATTGAGAATTTCGGGCGATTGAGGTGGGGTTCCATTGGGATTGGAGGGATCGACAGCGAGCTTAGCATAGAAGTCAGCACGAGAAGGACATGCCTTCAAGCATATCTGGAGATTTCATATCAGTTACGTCCCCGAATTATGAGAAGTTAGGTTTACTCACCTTGAAGGTTGCATTGACAATACGGTTATGATATTTCTTCAAGGTCACTTCATAGGACTTGGTAAATGACGCAGTCAACTCTTCGCTTTGATCGTCTTGGGAGGACCGAAGTGCCTTGCAGATGAAGAACAGCCCTCGAACAAGCCACAAAAGACCTTGAGTTGCCGTGCGATCAGCCTGTGCTTTCTGACCTTCATTCTCCACAAGCTGTTCCAAGGTAGTAGCATGTTGATTGGACGGATTCTCATGCCAGGCGCGGACTTTCTAGTTAAGATTTCAGTGAGACAAAATGGCATAGGAGATAAAGTATCTAATGTACTTCGATATTTCCCTTCACATCGTCCTTCACAACAGCGAGAGCGGACAATTCAAATCGATCTCATGAAGAAATTCAGACAATGGTATCATCCTGATACTGAAGGCTTACCAAAGGCGTCTGTGATGCTTTCTGAAGCCTCCAAGAATTCAGAAGTATTCACACCACCATTAATACTAACATCTGCAAATGACTGAGAAGTTACAAGGCTCATGTAGTGGACCGATAAGATAAACAATTTCCACATACCCTTTTGATGGTCTTGAGGAAAGGAGGCATGAGGGTGATGAGGTAGTAGTACTAATACTTAGTAGTACTTCGACGACTCGGAGATCAATTTCCGACATCCATCTTCCCTCGTCCGACATGATGGACCATAATAACTTCCATGTCACATCTGTAGAAGAAGTCGGAGAAATCCGCTCGTTTCTCATGTTACTTGCATGCAATTTGCACGTGTACTTCTCATCTGGCTTTGGCTTGAGTACACTCAAATCATCTGGCACCACTCATTTCTATATCTGAGTATGGGTCTGTCATTCAGCATACCTCTACCAAGAAGCAAGGACGTGAACTTGCTATCCACAACTCACTGGCAATCCGTGCAAGATTACGTGTGTGTCACTATCATATCCCATGATCTGTAGGCTAACAAGCAGGCAGCCATTCACAGAGCGGCCCAGCATTAGGCGGGGTTACGAAGAGGGGGCGAGGTAATTCTGGACCCTCTACGTGAACGAGGCCGAGCAGGATGATAAATATATCACAGAAACCTGGAAATCTGACATGGATAGTACCCTCATTTTTGTGAGTTTCTCGTCGATGCACCTCTAAGGTAACCTTATCTACTGTTTTCTTCCAGGCTGGTCTTTTTTCTGCAGCAGTCACTGCTTTCCTCATTGATAGCTATAAGCTCCTCAAGATCGACTCCAGTGACGTTACTAACAACCTTCTTGAACAAATGCTGGCTGTACAAATTGTTGGAGCATCTCTCAATAAATCTGTTATATCGCTTCCCGCTGCCGTACCCACTCCATCGTTTGTCCACTCAGCTTTAGCAATCGCAATTAATATCCTATGGTTCCTCAGCCTCTCCTGCAGTCTTGCGGCAGCTCTGTGTGCCACTCTTGTTCAACAGTGGACCAGGGACTACTTGCAACGAATTCACCGCTGTAATCAACCGCAGCGGCGTGGAACGATTAGGGGAATAATGTTCCACGGCAGCGTCAAGTGGAGGATTAATTATGTATTGTCATCATCTGCCTTGTGTTTTATGCCTTTGTCACCTTTGCACCTCTCTGGGACCCTTCTGCACCATATGAAACACCTTTCTCGGCTCTCCTTTGGAAGATACGACACCATCTTGCCATCATACTTGGTCCTCTTAAACAGAAGGATTTGGCAGAAGCACGTGAAGCGCTTGCAAAACACCCTGTCAATCAGTCTGTACATGAGGATATCCAGGCCGTCTCGTGGTTGTATGATAGAACTACCGACGACAGCGAACTCCAAAAGTTTGTGGCGGCCATTTCCGGATTTTTGAACACGTATGATGGTTGCGAAGCTTGGAAAGTGTTTTTTTCTCAAAAAGGTCTGAAACTGCAAATGAGGTTGAAAGCCGTGTTGTTGGTCTCTTAGAGACCTGTAGCGGATATGCCGCCCAATACATGGACCGAGAGTCTCGGATTCTCCGAGCAACACTTTGCATCGATGCACTACTGACCATGGCATCAGTGCCTCAATTCAATGATAGCGCGCCGATCATGAGGCCTTCTAACGCCTTTAAATTGATCAAAGGCTCCTTAGTTTCTCTCTGGACAAGTGATAACGTATTAGCCACAATGTCCGTCTGTTTGGAGGCTATCTATTGCTCGCGCGATCTAAGAAATAGACTACGCGCTGAAATCATGTTTCCCAGCATTTCGAAAGGTGGATCCGGCTCGCAGTCTGGTACTATAATTGGCTGTCTTCGCGACCTATCAGTCAGGACTGACCAGATATTGATGACATGCGGCAGATTCTTGATGATCTCCTGCATGAATTCGATGGTTCATTTGAGAACCACAAACCGGATATTGTTATTCTTGCCAAGGCATATTTTGATGTGGTACAGTCCAAAACTTCTGTGCTGCGTCATTATGCTGCTCATGGGAAGCTCTTCATCGTTGAACCCTTATCATGGTACTTTCGATTCATTCATGATATCCTACTCACATTCAAACACGACGAGTTTGGAGCTCTGCTCCTTCCTGCAGAGCATGTCATTGATTTGACAGCCTTCCGAATCCTTGCAAACCTGCGCATGTACAAAGTCTACCCACGACTTCCTGACATGTCCTATAATTTCAATGGAAATATAAGAGATCGATCTGAAGGCTGGATGGACTATCTGCAGGAGTCGTTCATTTCCAGAACAGACGAGAGCAACATCCTGGTCAAAGGAACAGATTTACAGGGTACCTTCCTCCAGTATTTGCGCCAGGAACTTCAGCCTATATCTTCATTACTTGGCATATCTGAGGTTCCCATACCACCACCTAGATCCATGACAAGTTTTCATGCACCAATACAGGTCGATTTGTCGCACGATCGAACATTGCTCGCAACACGAGATGAGGGTCCATTCAGATTGCTAGCATCATTTATGGAGGCCATTGTTGAGGATGAAGGCAAATTTGGCGGACTTTTAATGCTGGTAATGAGTCTCAAAGCCAATGCCACCCAGGCATTCGATTCTTCTATTGTTGACAAATGGATCAAGGCCATCTCTCCATGTCTCTCAAACGAGGGTCGGATAGTTCCAGGGTCGATTACCAGGGGGTCCCAGTTCCTCCTCGTCATTGCACTCCTTGAACTTTTGGCTTGGAAACGGGATCCCT